AGATCGAGGACAGAATAGAACGAGTGTTGCGAAATAAAACAATTCTGATGGTCAAAGTAATTTAAGAGCATCATGGAACCGAAGGTGCGATATGGGAAAGCAAAGAGTTGATGCGATATCAATACCCCCATTTGTTCGGATAATTGGGTTGGGTTGTAAATATCGAGGAGGAAATTTTTGTAAGGGGGAAGAGTTGTGACATTCCGAATTTCGACTCATTTTTGGGATTTATAAAGCGTGTATTTCGTCAGTGTGCTAATAGTAAAATCTCACCCAGAACTGATCACTCTTGGATTAATTTTAAATTAGAGATTTTGCTAGAATCGCACTCAATCGAATTTGGCTGTTATTTAGAGCCCGAACTTTGGTGTCGAATTTCTCGGAGTTTTGTGATGAATTTAATAGGAAGGTGTCGATATTATTGTGGCTAGCATCGATATTGCCCGGAATTGGTGAAAAGTGAAATTTGGACCGAGTGCAAATTTGGACTAGTAGACATCTCTCGTAGTGTGTTTTAGTTAGTGTTTTGGTCTTTTTCCTTTATTTAAATTAGGGTTTTTCATGGCCGTTGGATCGATTTCGAGTTCGAATGTGGGCCGTCAGATCGCACTCATTGCATTTGACTTTCTATCTCTCTCTCTCCTCTCTCCTCTGCCACGCCCCAGCTACGCGCGCGTCCCTTCTCCCCCCTAGCTATGCACATCCACTCCCCCGCCTCCCCATGCAAACTCCTCTCTCTCTCTCTCTCTCTCCTCTTTTCTTATTCTTTCTTCTTCTTTTCTTCTTCTTCTTCCTTTTTTCCCTGGCCGCTACTTCTGCTCCTTCTATTTGCTACTTACCGCTAACCACCACTCACCGTCCCCCTTGTGCCGCCACTTGCTCGACCAGCCACCACCCCCACTGTCGCCGCCACCCAGCCACCGGACGCCGTCACCGTTGTCGGCTCGCTCGCCTAGCAGCTCGTCGCAGCGAGCCCAGCTCGCTGCTCATAGGGCCGAGCTCGTCGCCGCCCAGTAGTCGCACGCCATCACCGTCGCTAGCCAGCCTAGTCGCGTGCCTGCTTGTTCACCGTCGCCGGTCGGCCCAAGCCACCTGCGAACTTGTCTCCACCTAGCACCAGCTCGCAGTCGCGCATCTTGCTACCGTGCGTCTCGCCGGCCAACTCGCTCGCCGGCTAGCCTAGCCACTCGCCCAGTTCACCGCCACGCGTCTCACCAGCCAGCTCGCTCATCGGCTAGCCTAGCCACTCAACCAGCTCACCGGCCGAGCTCACCTAGCCGCTGCCCAGGCCGTGGCCGAGCTCTCCTGGTCATCATCCTGGCCGTGGCTGAGCTGCCCAGCCACTCGCCATCGTGCCCAGCCATCGCCCGTCCACCTAAGCTGTTTGGCAGGCCGTGGTCGAGAGTCCCGGGCATGGCCGAAAGCTGTACCGAGCCGTGGCCAACCACTGTACCCGTTGTACCCTTGTCACACCGATTCGCCACCGTTCCATCGGACCATTTTGGCCCCTTGCTGGTTTTCCTTGGGCCAAAACTTAGGTAAGTGACTCCCTAAACCCTACTTAGTACTTTGGATTATTATTAGACTTGTTTAGAGATTGATTAGTGTTGGTTTAGTGGCTAAGTTAGGGGTGGAATTTATTGATAGAATGTGGCCGGTTGTAGACTAAATTGTGGCGATTTTATGGCTTAGTTAGTGGTTGATTGCGATGGGTTCAATGACTAGTTTGTCATGGCGTTTGTGGGTGAAATTAATATTTGTATGTGGATGACTTGAACGTCGTATTGGTGAGCATGACTTGGTTTTGAATAGTATGACGTGCTATATTGGTATTGGCGAATTGTATTGTGGTGTATGTGCATGAGGAATGTCCTGAGGTGTGGTTACTCGGGACTGAGCCCGGAATGATCGGAGGGTTGCTAACCTGAGGTGTGGTTACACGGGTGTGGCTAGAAAGGCAAGAAATGACTTGAGGCGTAGTTACACGGATCGAAAAAAATGTCCTAAGGCATGGTTACGCGGGACTGAGCCCCGAATAATCGGAGGGTTGCCAACCTGAAGCGTGGTTACGCAGGTGTGGTTAGAAAGGCAAGAAATGACCTGAGGCGTGGTTACGCGGGTCGAGAGAAATGTCCTGAGGTGTGGTTACGCGGGACTGAGCCCGAATTGATCGGAAGACTCAGCCTAAGGCGTGTTGACGCGGCCTGTGAGAATGGACCTGAGACGTGTTGACGCGGGTCGTGGATAGTTGCTTGGCCACACATGCGAAATGTGTTTGGTTGAATTGGGTGAATATACGTAGTTATGATGCTCAAGTGTTCATGTTATGTTCTTGACCTATTATTGCATTATTGTGATTTGACTAATGCGTGGACTGGATGGGTGATTTAAGGTGAGGTAAGTATGTTTGTGTGGGTTCGAATGTGTTGGCTGTTAGATCGCATGATAGACTTGTTTGGGTACGTATTGGCCTAGGTGGGGTATAGGTTGTCTACTTATTGAGATTTATTCTCATTGCTGTAGTGCAAAACATTTCAGATCCCTAATCTCGACTTTGGTACACTTGTGACAAATTTACCCCCTGTTAAATTGGATTAATACCACGAAAAATCACAAATTGACACAGTTGTGACAAACAGAGAGTAAATTGCCAAACTGGTACTCCTGTCAATTATTACGTGTCATCCAACTTAAAAATTTAATGGTAAAATTTAATGAAATCTAATGGAGAGTAAACTTGTCATAGGTGAACCATTTTGCAGTTTTTAGTGGCCAAAAAAATAATTTTAAGTAAATTTGTCACCGATGTACTCATTTGGGATTTATGATTCTATTAACCCTAAAAAATATCAAGGCGGCTGGTTTAGTGTTGAAGAAGTCACCTTTATTCACGAGATTAAGAATTTAATTCATGTTGTGAAAAAATATTATAATGGTTGGTAATCCAATGTTTAACTACGGCATATCTCTTACGATGAGACTTCAATCAGCATCTTTGTAAATGCGAAGATGGGCCGCTTAATCTTAGACCTTCGATTCGTAGATGATGCAAAGTAGATGTAACTTCGTGCAAACATTTTTGTAACGGATACAAGACTTTGTTATCCTTCCTTGCCCTTTCTTATCTACAAAAGAAAAAGTCCAAAAGAAAGGACATCTCCTTCGAACTTACGTTTGTGGACCCAAAAAGAAGAGGACGCCATTAAGTCAAGGCTCAAGTCAATGGCTGGAGGCATACGTTGGAGACAGTGAGGAGACGACTTGACTTAAGGGGCGCTCTAATTGGAACAATGGTTGTTCTCGGAGTCCTTGTCCTGTCCCACTTCTCTATATGATTCCACCCATCCTATCTTAGTCTTTTGTCAAGTTGCGCTCTAATTGGAACAATGGTTGTTCTCGGAATCCTTGTCCTGTCCCAATTCTCTATATGATTCCACCCATCCTATCTTAGTCTTTTGTCAAGTTGCGCTCTAATTGGAACAATGGTTGTTCTCGGAGTCTTTGTCCTGTCCCACTTCTCGATATGATTCCACCCATCCTATCTTAGTCTTTTCTTATTTTCTTGGGTTAATATCACGAAAAACTTCAAACTGATACATCTGTAATAAATTTACTCCAAGCTAATTTGTTTACTATCAAAATCTCTAAATCAATATATCTGTGATAATTTTATCCTCCGTTAGTTTCCGTTATATTTTATTATACGTAGCAACTAAGAGGTGTATAGACCAACATTGGTCTTTGTCAATGATACTTTATGTTATTTCCCAATAATGTCCAAAAACTTGACTCGTAAGCTCTACGGACTTAGTGTTGACTTAGAATATATTCGTCGCCTTTTTCTTGGTCTAATCTCAACTATTAAAACTAAGTTTATCAAGCTTATCTCAAGAAATTACTTCTTTTTAATAATCGATAATTGTTCGACAACCAGTGAGTTTTACTTAATTATTTGCTAACTGGTATTCTCATAAGTTTTTGAGGAATCATTCCACGTACACAAAACACGATAGGCACCTAATAAGTTTTTGATGTATCATGCGTTTTCGCTTATTTTAAGCAAAAATTTGCTTAATGACTTCTCTATCGAAATTTAAAATATGAACAAATCTAGTTGTAAATATTCATATGTCTTGTTCAGGCATTTTTCTTTAGATAATGTCAATTAACGCGAATGACAAGTTAAAAGGAAAATAAAAGTTAAAAATGAAAGTCGGTTTTCACACCTAAAACTTTTGTTCAAAATTTGAGCATTCACACACTCTCTCTTTCTCTCTCTCTCTCAACACGCTTGCTCATTACCAATTTTCTTTGTCATCAAATTGCTCCAATTAGTTAATTTCACATTCACTTCTATAAAGACATAATTACACAAATGGACTTGAACTTTGGCCCAATGTGTAATATCTTTTATAAACTTTTAATTTGTTTGATATAATCCTTGAACTTTTGGTAATTGTTCAATTTAGTCCCTAAACTACATGAAAATTTGCAATTATATCATTCCCTTAATTCAAGTTAACGGAATTTGCTAATTTGTCTTACAATCAAGTAAGTTTGAATGGTGGTAAAAAAACATAACATTACACGTAGATTATCAATGTAAGATATTCAACTCAAAATAGAATAATCCATATCATCAAAATAAACGGATAATCATTTTTCCAAATTGAACAAGTTAAACAAATTAAAAGGATTATTATATTCTAATTTAAGTTGAATATCGTATGCGGATATTTTACATGTAACATTAATTTTATTTTCACAGCTCAAACGTACCGGATTGGAAGTCAAATCAGTAAATTCCGTTAACTTGAATTAATAGAAGGATGGCAATGAACATTTTTATACAATCTAGGGACTAAATTGAGTATGTACCAAAAGTTCAACGACTACATTGGATAAATTAAAAGTTCATGGACCATTTGTGTTATTTTTCCTTCTATAAATACACCAAATGCACTCACTTGTTCTCTACAGCAACAAACATCACTCTTCATTAAAAAATGGCTTTCAAACTTGCAAAAAATTTCTCCATATGGTTCATACTTGTTTTTTGTGCATGTGCATCCACATCGGACTCCGCGTCCCTTGCTGACGACATTCCGTCCTCAACTAAAAAATTCGAGGAGTGGATGACTGGGCATGGGCGCGACTACAAAGACGTGGCTGAGAAGGTGAAGCGTTTTCAGATTTTCCTGGAAAACCTGAAGTTCGTCGAGGAATTCAAGCGCACGGCGAACCGGACTTACAAGGTCGGACTGAACAAGTTCTCAGATTTAACCAACGAGGAATTTAGGGCAACATATGCTGGATACAAGTCGCCATCATCAACACGCAGTAACTCCTCCCAAGTTCATTCTTTTGAGTACCAAGGTTTGAATAGCATTCCGGAGAGAGTCAATTGGGTCGAACAAGGCGCTGTCAACCCTATAAAGCTGCAAGGCCCATGTGGTGAGAAATTTACTGCTGACATAGAAGCCTATCCTAAGATATGCGAGCAATTACATTGCCCATTGTCATAAAAGAATCAATCTTACTAATAAAACAATAAACAAATTTTGTTCCGACACCTTAATATGGTCTCATATATAGCCATGCAACCTTCGGCTTGAAGTTATCTTGATTGAGTTATAATCACTGCACGAGTCACTATCCTATGTGTACAGGATCTTCCTGGGCGTTCTCCGTGGTGGCAACGGTGGAAGCAATCACGAAGATCAAGTCTGGCATGCTGCCGAACCTGTCCGTGCAGCAACTCTTGGACTGTGCCACTAATGGCGGCAACTGGGGCTGCCATGGCGGCTTGATGGACAACGGCTTCAAGTACATCATCGAGAACGAAGGCATCAGCTCCACATCGAACTATCCATACACCGGGGTCGACGGCACCTGTGACAAGCAGGCCGCATCTGTTGTCGAGGCCATAATATCCGCGTATAGGGATGTCCCCGCAAAAGAGGATGACATGCTGAAGGCCGTGGCGATGCAGCCGGTGTCAGTAGCACTGGACTCGAGTGGGCCTGCGTTCCAGAACTATGCAGGTGGGGTCTTTAATGGCCCGTGCGATGCCAATCTAGACCACGCGGTGACGGTCGTCGGGTATGGGACGGATGAGGAGGGGACCAAGTACTGGTTAGTAAGGAACTCTTGGGACGCTCCGTGGGGCGAGAGTGGGTACATGAGAATTCAGAGGGACTCTGGGGTTGAAGGTGGCCTTTGTGGAATTGCCTTGAAAGTTTCTTATCCTATTTATCAAAGAGATTATGGCCTCGAGCTCATGTGCGTTAGTAGGCTAAACTCGGCCGATATGAATTGAGTTTAGTCTAAGTGGAAATATTTCGGGTTAATTACTATAGTTAATCTCATGTATTTACTTTTTTTTATTCAGTTAGACCCCATGCGACCTTTGTTAGGTTTCTTATGCTGAAATATTTGGAGTGTCTAATGATAATGAGAAGGAAGAGGATTTGAAGACAGTCCTTGAATTTTGTATTGTTAGCAAACACTTGATATCGTTGTTTGACACTTAGGACCATGTGCATGGGAGGTCCTCATACCTATTGGACGATTGTACGGTTCAGTTTAAAAAAGAAAACAGAAAAGACTTTTTACCCATGCTAATATATTTGTAACAAAGTCAGTAAATGTATAGAAAATGTTGGTAAAAAAAGCTACCGCTTACTTGATTCCTTGATAACTTATTGTTAATCGCCTGACATATCATGACAAATTCTTTTTGAAGGTGTGCAAATCACCAATTTCTTTTTATTATCTTTTATCAATTTTTAGTTGTCTTTCTTACCAAAGCTATAAATTTATCAAGTTTCATTCGAACGTATTTTTAGTAATAGATGTCGTGATTTGATAGGTCAATCACTTCCCCACTCGGATAAGTTAAAAATAGTTTTTCTCTTGTTATCCCTTCAATCTTAATCTGTGTGGACCAACACTGGTCTTAGTCAATGATATTTTATGGTGCTCTTAGGCTGCAAATTGTTTGTTGTTATCTCCCAATTGATTATCGTCGACATGCATCGACTTAGAATAGACTCATCTCCTTTTTCTTTGTCGAATTTCAATCATTTAAACAAGTCTATCGAGTTCTCTAAAAATTACTTCTTTGTTAATACTTGATAATTGTTTGACAACCGATAGCTTTTACTTAATTCCTATTTTTTTGGTCATATTTTACTTAATTATCTGCTAACTGGTGTTTTCATAAGTTTTTGCAAAATTATTTGATGCACGGGAACATGATGGATATCTAGTTTAACTAATTTTATATATATTATTAATGGCACCGATTTGTCTGCGATTTATCATGTATTTTTTTTTCTTATTTTAAGCAAAAAAAATTGTTTAATGACTTTTCTATCAAAATTTAAAATATTATCAAATTTTAGAAATTGTCAAAAATTATGAACAAATTGAGTTGTCAATATTCGTTTAGTCTTGACTTGAGTTAAATATATGTCAATTTACATGAATAATAAGATTTGGAAAGAAGTAAAATTGAACGTCATTCCACAAGTTAAGATTGCGATCGACATTTAGTAGTCACTTGCTATTAGCTCGCTCTCTCTCTCTCTCTATGAGAAGATTGATCAAATAGATAAATAATTATATTGCCACACTCACGCATGGAATAAAGATTGACCTTGCTCGTCACCAACTTTCTTTGCAATCAAATTGCTCCAATTAGAAAATTTCCAATTCAACTTCTATGAATACAACTAATGCATTCCCTCGTTCTCCACTGCACAAACATATCCCTTCATTATCGCTCAAATGGCTTTCAAACTTGCAAAAAATTTCACCACATGCTTGATATTTGTCTAGTGTACATGTGCATGCACCTCGGACATCACGTCTCGTACCTACGACATGTCGTCCATGACTAAACAGTTCCAGGAGTGGATGACTCGACACAGGCCAACTACACGGATGTGGGCGAGAAGGCGAAGTGTCTGAAGATTTTTCTGGAAAGTCTATGCTTCCTTGAGGATTTCAATGGTGCGGCGAATCGGACTTTCAAGGTTCGATTGAACAAGTCCTTGGATTTAACCAACGAGGAATTTTTGGTAACATATACTGTATACAAATTACTATCGTCAACACGCAGTAACTCCTCCCAAGTTCATTCTTTTGAGTACGAAGGTTTGAGTAGCATTCGGGATAGCACCGATTGGGTCAAACAAGGTGATGAACCCTACATGGAACCAAGGCCAATGTAGTAAGAAATTTACTGCTGACTTAAGGCACAAATGATAACCATTCGATGTCCCTTTTTTTTCTCGGGAATATGTTTGGAACAAAAATCCGTTTGGTAAAATAATTATATTTTTCTATTTCTAGGATAAATTTTTAGCCCAGAAATAGGTTTGGAAGATAAATAGGAAGTTGAAATTTTTTACTTTTCCATTTCAGGAATAGAAATAGAAATAACAACTTTCTTTTATTGTTCGTCCTTGCCATCCATCGCCGCCCACCTGCCAGCCGTTGCCCAACAACTACCCACCACTTGCCAGTCGTTTGTCATTGCTCGCCTGTTGCTTACCAGCCTTTCGCCATCGCCCCCACTCACCCGCCAGCCACCCATCGCCAGGCACCATCGCTTGCGTTCGTCGGCCGGCCACCTATGAAACGAATTTCTATTACGGGAACAAAAATTTTATGTCGTTATCAAATGCTATTTTTTGCTCAAAAACTCGTCTGGGTAATAGAAATAGATTTTTCTATTTCTAGCTAGAAATAGGGCCAAGGAAGAGAAATTTTATCATTCACGCCCTTAGAAGCCTGTCGCGCTTGCCCTTTTTGTGAGGAAATATGGGACTAACTTGGTGTATGCTAAGTCTAGGTCTAGGACTTAACTCAAGCTCTCCCAAACCCATACTGTATCGCAACTTATGGTTTAGGTTTTTAACTCGCAAGTAATTTTTATCTAGGAGTTGCCACTAATCAATTTGGAGTGAGTCGATTAGAAATCCAAGTAAGGTCACGGGAGAAACACCCTACTCCTAAGAACTAGAAATTAAATAAGTTCGAGGATTTGATTACACTAATTGAGTGACTAATGCCCTCTTGGTACCTTTTATCCTGTTCATTTAACATTTAAAGGTATTAATGCAGTATTCCTATTGATTGTGAATCCTAGGGTTCTAATCCTAACTAGGCTAAGGAAACGACAATCAATGCATCGGAATTGCACAAACAAAACCTTAACATGCCTCTAATCATCCATATTCAAAGTCAAATTAAACACGCAATTCAAAACGTACGAAGCAAATGACGTGGAATTAAGCATGGAATTTAATCACACAAAACATACAATAAAAGGCAATTCCAAAGCCTAATTATTATTTTTTTCGAATTTTCAAAATTTTTAGTTTTTTGTAAAAATTAATTTTCTTTTAATTAAAATAATATTATTATATTATAATATTATAATAATATATAAATGGACCCATCCGACTTAGGTCGAGACTGACCTGAACCCGCCAGTCTGGGTCCACGGCTGGACTGGGCTCGTCCAATGAGCCCAGTCCGGCAACCTTAAAGCCCAAAACAAAAATTAAAGAAAATTAGGTCCTAGACATTAACCTAGTTTCAAAATTAACTAAGCTTAGGCCCACCATCCTATTTGAGCCCAGTCCGAGAAACAAAGAGAAAGAGAATCGGGTTAGGCTCCTCGCCCAACTCGGATCTGACTCGACTACTCACCAGCGATCCGACTCTACCTCCTTCAAAAGACCCGGCTTCCTTAGGCCGCGTGCCCTCACCACGACGGAGAAGGCCACGGCGAGCAAAACACTCATCTTCGTCAGGCTTGGGGACCTCTAAGCGTCACCTCACTAGTCTGGGTCAAACGTTCACCGTTGTCTGGTTGGAGACGCCCTAGTGACAACCACAGCGAGGCGTCCGACAAACGCCCCAAATCATGATGTCAGTGGCCTTTGCAAGTGGCCACGATGACGGCCGTGAACCGGGCAACACAATAACCTGAACAACAACTTCCCTTTCACTTGGATCGCCATTTCTCGGATGACCTCAACTTCGGCCAAAAAGGTGAGATAAAACTAGATCTCATTTGGGCATTTCAACAAATAGGTGGTGTGCACTCCGAATCATGAGGTTCCCGACTTGACCGAGACTCAAACTCCGATTGAAACTCTCAACAAATAGATCCAGACACCCACGACGATTTACCAAAGGACGCATGAGGTTGGGGCTCGCACGAGAGGACCAATGTGAATTCCGGCCTCGTGCCCCAAAAACAGGGGAAAAACAGGGGCTGGCAAGGAGAGAAAACCAGGGGTGTTAGCCGCAAGTTGTCCCTACTTGACTCGACGACGGCGGCTTGGAGGCGAGCCCGAGACAAGTTGGGTCATGGCCAGTCGCCTTGGGGCCATCGAACCGGGATCCTTGGGAAAACAACCCCTAAACCAAATAAAATGAAAACCGGCGAACCGGAACCTATTAAGGCTTGGCATGGGGGAGAGGCGATGACCGTGAGTTGTCGGTCCCGGCAAGAGCATGGCAGTCGCCGAAAAAGCTCTTCAGCTTTCTGTTCCACTCAATCTCTATGTATCTCTCTCTGTTCCGTGAAACCGAACCCCCCCTCCTCGCTTTCTCTCTCTCTCTTCGTTTTTATACTAGTCACTAACCACCTACTCTCTCATTCTGAGCCATTCAGGTTGCAAATGATAACCATTATGTTTCTAAGTTTTTGTTCTAGAAACATATTTGGAACAGAAATCCGTTTGGTAACGTAATTTCATTTTTCTATTTTTGGAATAAATTTTGTTTTCAAAAATTGGTTTGCAATAGAAATGGGAAGTTAAAATTTTCTACTTTTCTATTTTTGGAATAGAAATGAGAAGTTAAAATTCGTCTCATCACTCAGCCTCGCTACTAGCCGGTCACCCGCTTGCTACCCATTGCTGCCTATTTGCCGATCGCTACTTCCTGCCATTCGTCATCTCCCACTACCAGCCACCTTCGGCTGCTGCTTGCCATCCACGGACCATTGTCTCCCGCTGCCAGCCGCCCTCTTCCTGCTTTCGACTGTCGCCCTCCTCCCAACACTAGCCGTCGTGGGCCGCAGCTCGCCATCCACTGTCCACCGGTCACCATCTCTCGCCACCGGCTACCTCTCGCTACCGACTGCCCTCCTCCCATCACTGCCCGCCTCCGGCCACCGCCCGCCTCTGGCCACCGCCCACCGTAGGTCGCGCCCGCCATCACCGGCCATCGTCTTTCCGCTGTCGGCCGCCTCCTCCCGCGCCACCTTCCGCCCACCGCCACCACCGGCCGCTATGGACCATCGCTTGCCGTCCATCGACTATCGCTCTCGCCTCCGACAACCCTCCTACCGTCACTGTAGGCTATCGCTTGCCGTCCACTGGCCACCATCTCTCACCACTTACCACCCTTCTCCCGCCGCCCGCCTCCTCCTCCGCCGCGGCTACCTCCACTC